ACTTCAGTAACTACTGGAGTTCCTCAGGGCTCAGTTCTAGGTCCTATACTGTTGTAAATCTATGCCAATGACCTGCCCTTGTCTATGGAAAAAAAATCTGATATTTTGCTGATGACACCACCCTGTCAACCTCTGATGTATCCCTAAACATAGTAGTTGAATCTCTTACTCGAGATGTTTTAAATGCCAACAAATGGTGTGATTTGAATCGCATGTCTATCAATGCTAACAAAACTAAGGTCATGTATATTTCCTCAAAACATAAGCAAAATTATATTTGTGAAAGTGATCCTTGTACATGTATTTTGTATAAAACAGAGCAAATTGTTTGCAGCTCTGAAGAAAAATTACTTGGTATTACAATAAATAACACCTTATCTTGGCAAAGTCGTATTGATAATGTTCTAAGAAAGCAACTTATTGTTACATTTATTACCTCGTATAAAATTATTCATATCTATACCTGTACGTAAAATGTTTTACAATGCATATATTTTACCACATGTTGACTATTGTTGCATAAATTACGGTAACTGTACGTCTTTTATAGAAGATAAACTCATTAAGTTCCAAACGAGAGCTACAAGAATAATTCTAGACAAAGATTATGACTTTCCATCTGCTGACTCCGCTGGATGACCTTTTCAAAGAGGGTTGTTTTTCAAAAAGCTATTATTATGTTTAAAATAATGAATAATCATGCGCCTTCCTATTTATTGAATAATTTCATTTTATCATCAGTACTCGCACTCGCATTTTGCGTTCAACATCTGATTTTCAACTTTACACCCCTAGACCAAATACTGAACAAGTCTTTTATTTATTCTGAATCTTATATTTGGAACGGCCTTCCTGATTATATCAAGTCTGTTACTTTGAAACGGTGTTAAATAGCAGTTGTATCATAGTTAGGGGACCTTTCTGTTGAAAATGTGTCAGACATATCCATGCACAGTATATTGTTGTTACTTATTGTCCCAGGATGAACACTATTGTGCAATGTTCAAGATTTGAAACACCTGATGAAGGTGAATTGCAGAACTAAACATTGAAAATAATATCGGTAACTGACCTTTCACTGCACCTGGGGCTTGGCGTGCATTTTTTACATTCTACTCTATCAAATAGTTCTAATTGGTTCAACCAAATGAACATATATTTAAAATCATTCTTAGAAAGATAGCTTAAACAGTTAAATTGTGATAAACTGAAAACCATTCTTAATTTCTAGTTTCTGATTTGCGTATATCTGACAATGATTTTAAATTGACCAATGTAGAATGTAGCTCCAAACTGGTTTTGTAGTTGTTTTGTTGTTTGATTTTTTTTCTTTCTTTCTTTCTTTCTTTCTTTCTTTCTTTCTTGAGCCTGAAATTTAATTCTAATCTGCATGTTTATCATAATAATTTTAATAATTTTCAAGCCGCTGATATTCCATTACTAGCTTTAATTGTCATGTCAATATTTCTAATTGATAAAAAATGTCTGTGCTATTTGCATTTCTTTCTGTGAAAGGAGGCATCTTTGATAAATGCATCTCTTATGTCCATACAAACTTCACAAATTCATGATTCATTCGTTGCGATTTTGTAAAGTTCTTTTATCATTTGTTTTGAAAACATTTTTATATTCGAGTTTTTAAGCCCAGATGTTTTAGATTATAAAAACATTTCAGAAGATCGTATTTATAATTATTTTCATTTGTAAGGAATATAATATCTTTCAGACGAAGCATTTTGAAGTGTTTTGACATTATGTAAAGTGAAACCTTTTTTTAAAGACCGGTTTTGTGGAAATAATAAAGGTGTATGTCTGGATAAGGTTGAGTTTGAAGAGAAGTAATTTTTCACTGTGATATTAATTTTTATCGGACTTGAGAGACATAAAATAATGGTATAGAATGACTGGATTTTTATATGATTTTTTTGTTTATATCTGCGTTTTGTTCAGGGATGGGATCTCATTTGTAGTGTGGTTAATTGTTTTTGACTGTGAATTATTTACAATTATCTCTGTGAGTAGCTAGTTTTAATTGCTTCATGTAAGGGACCAATTATACTTGCCATGAAAGATTTGTTTTTTACTGCGGTGCCAGCATTTGCCCGAAATAATGCATTGAATGGCTGTAAACTCACCATAACACTTTGTACCATAATGGTGTGAATGTTCAGTTATCTTATCTAATTGGGCAAAAGAAGATACGTTTTGACTGAGTTTGAATGATGCATGACACATTTGTACTTTGAATTATGATAATTAACTTTCATTTTAGGTTCTAATAATATATGTTGAAAAAGTTTGTTTTCTATACTATAGGGATTTAAAATGTTGGTTTTTGGTCGAATGTCTTTCTACGGTTTGTATTTGCCTAACAATTACCGTTGAATCTTTATATGCCCTGGGAAGACAATATTGCCGTCCAAGATATGACAGGGAACATTTTCTGGGTGCATCAACCGTTGTTTTTGTTTGTTTTTTTTTTGTTGTTTGTTGTTGTTTTTTTTTTTGTTTTTTTGGTGTTTTTTTTTTTGGTGTTTTTTTATTGAAGTCTCATTATACAGGGGCAAATATTTTGAAGTCTTTTATATATGGGCAAATGTCTTCATTCCTCCCTAAATATATATTAAAAGTTTTGTAAATTTGTAAATCTAATAAAATACTTTTCATGATAACATTCTTTTGGGGACAAAATTGTACAAATTAATTCTTCCTGTAACAAAGTAATTTTGACTGTAGTTATTTTAGGGTCACAGAACTGGTCATCTGTGACAAGATGATTGGTACATTACTGTGATATTTAAGGCCAGAAGAAAATATGTTTGTTCCCAAGATATTCATGCATAATTTATCTAATCTTTTTTCAACTTTCATAAAAATGATTTGCGCTCCAAATGCATGGGTAGTTGTTGTATACCTTTGGCGATGATTTCTGTGCTTATTTGATCACTTTATATCAAATCATTATGATGTGTTATCAGGATATGCTTACAAATTTATCCCTGCAAAATTGTATGAATTTGATAGCTTTTCATATAAAATAAATTTGTTTAACTGATTGATATAAAACCTTCATGTTAACGCTTACCATAGGAAACATCGTCAATTTTTCATGTTTTAATCTGGGCCATTCAACTTTTTTAGGGAAAAATGACTTTGTACCGAGTAGCGAACAGTTCAAACTAAGATTATATTGTACAGATGCCCCGGTTGACTCAGGCATAGCCCCGGTCGATCCAGGCAGAGCCTAGGACGATCCAAACAGAGCCCCGGTGGATTTAAAACGCGCGAAATTGATAACATTGACACATACTTTTTTCTGAAAACAATCCTTATGCAAGACTGGATAGAAGGGAAGTTGGAAGGGTTTTAATACAAACATCGCAAATTGTCGTGACTCTTTTGAAATGAACCGGGCTTTCCCGGTGGCTCTACCGGGATCATCCGGGGCTCTGTCGGCATCCTCCGGGGCTCTGCCGGCATCCTCTTGGGCTCTGACGGTATTCACCTGGGCTCTGTCAGCATTCACCGGGGCGCTACCGTAGTTCTAACGGCTACATCATACCCCGGATCATCTCCGGTTTGTGCCGGCAGAGCTATGGTGCTTCCTCGGTGTAACCCCGGTCGTTCCCGGCAGAGCTAAGGATGAAAGGGCAAGGAAAACATTACTTAAGACGGTCCATTATTTTTTATTTTTTCTCTTTATTTAATTGGATAGAGGGTAAAACCTTCTTCTTTTCAGGTAACAACATTTGTATGTTGTTTTTTTCCAGACAACATCATTTGTATGGTTTTATCTAGGCAACAAAATTTGAATGGATTCTTTCCATGAAACATTATTTGTATGATTTTTTCAAGGCAACATATTTGTATCGGTTCTCCAGGCAACATTATTTGTATGTTTTTTTTCAGGCAACATTATTTTTATGGGTTTTTTACAGGCAACTTTATTTGTTTTGGTCTTTCCAAGCAACAATATTTGTATGTTGTTTTTTTTCAGGCAATATAATTTGTATGGGGTTTTTCAGGCAACATTATTTGTATGTGTTTTTCCAAGCAACAATATTTGTATGTTCTTTTTTTTCAGGCAATATTATTTGTATGGGGTTTACCAGGCAACATTATTTGTATGCGTTTTACCAGGCAACATTATTTGCATGTTTTTTTTCCAGGCAACAATATTTGTATGGGGTTTTTCCAGGCAACATTATTTGCATGTTTTTTTATTTCAGGCAACAATATTTGTATGTTTTTTCATGGCAATGTTATTTGTATGTATTCTTTCCAGACTACATTATTTGTATGGATTTTTCCAGGAAACAATATTTGAATGGTTTCCTTACTAGACGTAGGGGGTTTTACACTTATGGCAGATATTAAAGCCTGGACCGTCTTTTATGTCAATATTATAATAATTGTAAAATATTTTTTTTAAATTCTTATTCATAACTTGTTAAATATTGATTTATATATTTTATATACATGTATTTGTAGTAACTTTAAAGTGAATGTAGTAGATAATGTGTTTATGTAAATCTAAAAGTGATACAAATAAAAATTAAACAAATTCTTACCACCTAACTTACCACAACTTTGTTTTAGTTTATACAAATATTTTAGTTCAATTGCTTTGGAAGCTATAAGCTTATTAAAACTCTCTCGAATCCGTTCCTGGAACCTACCAGTACTAAGCAATGAATGTAAAGCTTATTGCTCAAGGAATGGCTTGCAATTCTGCTTATGCCGGTGCTAGGGGGCGTGGACGGTATTTTGCACCGTCCATGAACGGGGTCAATCAAACCGAGTCTGCAACATTTTTGATTTTGCCGTGTTGGACTTTAGGGATTCTTATTGGTTTTTTTCGCCACATTAGAATTGTCTGTGCCGTATGGAGGCTGTAAAAAGTCGCCCCGTACATTCAATCAGAGATGTTATAACTATTCGGCATTGTGAAGTTGCTAGGTTCCAATATTAAGGTAAAAGGAAATGATAAGATAGGTAGATAGATAAATTTATTTCGGTATGCAAAACATAAACATCTATAATTAAAGCAACATGTACGGTACAAATATATAAGATGCATGGGAATAAATCAGTTACCATGACATGCTCACCAACACCAAGTATAGCACAAAATAGAGAGACTATTCATTCAATTGTGGTCCCCTGTGTCCCTTGTGTTGGTTGCATTTCATAGAAAGCCTTAATAAGTGCCAAAACAAATACTTTCAGTTAAAGATTTTAAGTTATTTGAACACAGTTTGACGAGAAATACATTATTGTAACATATCATTCAAGTTAAAAACAGAATACATATACTAGGAAGCAAATGATAAAAGTAATAAGCATTAGATATTTTACATTAAGACATACTACAATAAAGACAAGTTACCCTTTTATCACAGTAAAAACATTAAACCTTTTATTAGACGATTTGACTAGATACCAACACGCAACTATAAAAAAAATATGAAAGAATGAGAATTTAAAAATCAGTATTACTTACACTGAAACAAATGCATCATTTCATATTAAATGTATTAAATGATAGACGAAATGAGTTAAAAACATTTCCTATAAAGAAACAAAATGATGTAAATTTAAAAACTCATGTAAGAAGCATTGAAAATTACACTTACTTCTGAGCAGATATTTCGAAAGAAAGTAGACTGCCAATGCTAAATTAATAATCTGAATACATGTAACTATTCCACAATGTACAACCCACAAAGCAGAAGGACTTGGTACTAAATCCTTTGACCTTTAGGATTGCAAATGCGCCCTTGTAACTTAACCTGGTATTGTTAGAATGAACAGTGACCTGTGGGATACGTAATTTTTCATGCTATCATGATTCAGAACATTTTATACTTTGAAATCATGACAAAGGTTGATTTGATCTACACGTTTAAGGACAGGTAACCATTTGAATACAGCATATTGCCAGGAACAGATAGTAGAATGGTAAGTAACTTTCCCTTTTTATGCCCTCTACACTAAAACAGGGCAATGGCAAATAGATTTGCCTTTGTTCGTCCGTCCGTCCGTTCGTCACGATATCCATTCATTCACTGAAGTCTGAAGCAATTGTACAGATATTTGTGATTAAACAGTAGAATAAAGGAGCTCCTCTGTCCTGTAGTACAATTCGTCAGGATTTAAGCATGTAGGAAATGTAATAACAACATAATAATAACAATAATAATAGATCTACAATAAATAATTACATGTATAATAAAAAATTTATTTAGAGAAGGTAACATAGAAAGTTTACACAATAAAAAACATTATTAATTAATTTTTGAAATTAGGCACGTTTTCAAGTCAAATGTAAGGCGTAATTATTAACATTATATGCATACTTATTTTCAGTACGGCTTCTGATTTAAAATAACAAAGAAAAGAATACTTGTATATCTATAAAAAAATGTAAAAACAAAAAATCATTTATTTTCTTTAATGTAAAGGTAAGCTATATTAATTCATTCGACTGACACTCGTATCTATCATATTAATTTGAGATAAACTAATAATAATTAAAAATGACAATATCAACATTTACAACGGCTACAATATAAAGTGGTCGATATCTAATTATAAAATAAGAAAATATTTTGTGAAAGATTATACATTGTTTTATAGTAATAGGTACATATACTTTGTTCCTTTGTTCCAAAAATCAAAAATGAAATAAGAAAAAAAAATCCTGTAAATAATAAGTTTGCGCCAGGGGTCGCATAATATTATTTTATGAAACTGGTTCTATACATTTACTTTTAAATCTACACTCATTCAAAATCCTCTATTTATTATATACATATGCCAAAAATGTTATCCTATTTGATCTGCTGAGGGCAGAACAAGATCTGGAATATTTCAATTGCAAAATTAGAAATGATCAGTAGTTTTTTGTTAAATATTAATGATGTACGTAATTCACCTATCAAATAAGCACACTATTCTACATCATGAATTCACGATTTCAGCTTCATGAATTCACGATTTCAACTTCACCAGTTCACGATTTCAACTTCATAAATTCACGATTACAACTTCATGAATCAACAATTTCAACTTCACGAATTCACGATTTCAACTTCATGAATTCAACTTGAAATCGTGAATTCAATGGATAAAATCGTAAATTTATTAAGTTAGAATCGTGAATTCGTGAATTGTAATCGTGTATTCGTGAAGTTGAAATCGTGAATTCGTGAAGATGAAATCGAGAATTTATGAAGCTGAAATCGGGAATTCATGAAGCTGAAATGTCTCTACCGGTCTTTCGACATTCAGGCAACCGCCAATTTTATATCGTTATGTCCGGAGTTGTTATATTCTAGAAAACGGTTAGAGGACGTGTTTGATTAATAAAGGGAAAACTCAGAATATAATATATTCCGAGTCCGATATTAAATTGTTACTACAATCAAATGCAATAAAATACAACATCTATAAAATTATGTAACTCACAAGCATATCGAAATGCAACAACAAGTAAATGCAACATAAGAATACATGTCACATAGCCGTATTTTGAATTTATATGGTTTTATTTTAACAGGAAATGTGGATGGTTATCAATTCGATCATCTGCGTTTACAATATTGGGGTCAATTACAGAATAAAAAAGACTGAAAATGGTGGTCTAAATAATTATTAACCGAGCTGCTCTTAATTGATGATCAAGTTACCATTGAAACAAAGAACCGAAAATTTCAATACTTTTAAAAAGATTGTCTTAATTCCGTGATGGTCTTAACATTTGTTTTTTACAAAACATGTATGTAGAAACGTTCATTAAATAAAAGAGAATCTTAAAAGTGTGTAAAGCTCGCCTGATGTGTGTGAGTGCGTGTGTGCGTGCGTGTTTGCGTCTGCGCGTTTGCGTATGTGTGTGTGTGTGTGTCTGTCTGCATGCGTGCTACCGCTTGCGCGTGTGCGTGTGTGTGTTCTTTATTATAACAGACATTTTTTCCTCTGATTCATTCTAGGGAGTTGGGAATAAGTTGAACAAATTAAACAAAGGTGTTCATTGTTCTTTTTTTAATGCAATAATGCTAAGAAGGGAACATGGAAGGGAACAAAATTCATTTTCTTTCCTCGTATTAGTAAAGTTGTAAATACATTAGAAGTGTTCATTAGTGTTTATATAACTTTGTTATATATGACTTAAACATTTGTAAACACTTTTCCCATTCTGTTATAACACTTTTAAAATGACATACCCATAATGTACATGAAGTGTATGTGTGTCTTTATACTAGAAAATCAAAGCCTTTTAGAAGCATTTCTTCTCGTACAATATACAGGAGTCGTCGGATATAATACTCTCGGGGATTACATCTTCTACCATTTGTTTTGTAAATGAGCTTCTCTCGCAGTAAACCCCCATACTGTTGACATAAACTTCATAGGACAGACAATCTTCATCTTCAGAACACAACCTAGAGCATTCATCAACAGAGGCCACACCGCCATTTCCACGATCATTACGGCTGTATATTCTTATACCTTCCGTGACGGAGAAAGTGTTGTTCATGGCGCTGCAAACTGAAGATAAAAACACGTTGTTTTTTTCTTTGACTTAAATATTGCATGGAAGAAACACTTTTCTAAAGACAGCTTTTATTATCAATGCCATGGCTTTTAAATATTTCTTTAAGAATTGTTTGTAGATTTTGAAGATATTACCTTAATGACAATTATAAGCAAATCTGATACAAAATTAAAATCCACTTACGTTTCTTATAATTCATCATGCTTTTATGTTAAGAATGTATCAATATCACATATGTTGAATTTATCTTACTTTTTTTTATAAAGTACTTAACTCAGATACTTCTGCTATCAAATAGCATATGTTAGGAATTTCACCTTACTAAGTAAAATGGCGGACGCACTGGTGGTGTGTCTGACTTTATTAGTTTAATATGATTTTAGTCTGACAAAACGTCATTATCCCACGTATTTTAATGGACATATTTTAAATGATTTAAATGGAATTTCTGTATGACAAGATAGAGCAAAATATATGATAAGGGGCATCTTTATGTTTTTTTTTTCTTTTTTCATGCAATATAAGGTAGAATGCACAATTTTGAAGGAAATAATAGTAAATGAGATTAGGGTAGCCGAGTTTGTGTTTTACTGTAAGTAATCAGATTTTTAAGCTTGCATAGATATGAACCAAGGAAAAACGTTGTTGTATAGATACTTACAAGGACCATTTGTGTGATTAAAAGCCTAACATACAAATTAAACAGTGCTGCAGACTTCTCGGTAATGAGATCTTTGACTGATGTGCATGGTATCAAAACGCAAAGGTATTACAGCGTTTGAATGAAAGACAGCATATTAAGTTTGTGGACATTTGGTTTCGCTTGTCGATTTTCCGCATTTATGCCAGAGTTATTGCCCTTTACTTAGTCAAAATCAGCAATTTTCAACTTGGCATGCATGTTGTTGAAAATAAAGGACATTGTGCAAAACAGGCCTATTAACTTAAAAAACACATGTGACGTATACGTTTGGTATTTTCATTTTAATGCGCAGATTTGGTAAATGACAAATACGTTTTGGTGAGCATAGTAAAACCTAATCCAACCTAATGTTCTATTTTTGGCTGAAGAGTGTGCAATATTCGACCAAATAGGTCACACTTGTGCCATATTCGTCCGTTACATATACGGTCCAACTGAGGTGAGTTTGAGCATTTTAGGCGTATTGAAACAAATATTTTTGTTAAACCAAAATATACAGTCTGAAGCAAGAGATAAAATAATAAAATTCCTTCATACAAAGTAGGTGGTTTAGTTTCCTTAACCTTCGTCAACACAGACGATGTTAATAAAAATTCACAGAGTGATTGTTGTTCATGAAACGTGGAAAAATCGAAATATTGATCTTCCAAATTGATTGTCTGATAAATACCTGAATATTTAAGTTACGCAATAATATATGATAACGAATTTTCTTAACTTGAAAGCAGTTTTATGCTTAAGTTATGACGATGTGTAAACATTGCTTACATACAAGCATTGCTTACATACAGAAAGGAAACCAACCCATGTAAATTGGAAGTCCAGTATTGAGCAAAATTCGCACATGTATTCTTTCATATGATTTGTCATCAGACATCTCCAAAGTGTTGAGAATTTTTAATACCCTTCTTTTCTGGTTATTTGCCTGGACTATTAGTGCTGTTTGCAATTTATAGATTACAATCTTTGTTCACTTAGCAATAATTTACTTTTCAATACCTTCTCAAAGTTTTTATGACAATGAGCATGCCTCTGGAGGTGTGTTGTTTTAAACAACAACGTATCACTCCGGGAGTTTTCCATTGACTGCATTAAATTGAAATACAAATTATGATGCAATACCTCTGGTACAATTCCTGGCCTCGGCGTCGTATTTAAAGAAATGGCTACAGTAACATAGTCCTTCTTTGCACAGTGCACCTGGCATATTGCAATCAGATGTATGTGAACACGCCTTTATAAATGTTGATTCTAAAAAGCGAAAGATATACATAATATGAGAACAAATTTATTATCACACGTTTCCTTTCGTTTGTTTTTGTTTTGTTACTGTTTATCCAAAAGAATAGAATTGTGTTTGGCTCTTTGATACTAATAATATGTGATGAAAGTGTGACAGCGATAAACCCAATATTCTGTTATCCCCCAATTCAGAATGCTGGGTAAAATATTTTTGACCCGGCGTGTGCGCGTGTTTGGTTCTTTTTGCCAAGTCTTCGAAATGATAGAGAGCAAAATCGGTCTAAATTTCAAGCTGAATGAATTTGAGAACTAGTATAGTGTTACTTTTGCACACATTTAATTGTTGATTTAAAATGTAGGGCTGTTTTAAATTAGTTATTTAGAAGAAACGCTTTTGTTACTCAAATGTCTATGGAAGTTGCGTAAGCAATTTTGTATATACTTGTTTCCAAACGCCATTTGATTTCGTTTTCTACTACAGGGTATACAATTACAATAGCTGTTTTCTTAAAAAAAAAAGTACATTATATTAAAAATAAATAATAAATACAGTTTTTTTTGTCATTTACGACAAAAGATAGAAAATTTTCTAATATTTCATAATTATTATTTCATAAGTAGACAAAAATAATTGAATACATGTCATTCTTCTATGATTTTAGTCAGCATATCAATACATAATCATCGCAGATAACTTTAATATCACCAATAATATCTGTTTTGATAACTTTAATCTCACCAATAATATCTGTTTTGATAACTTTCATATCATCAAAAATATCTGTCTTGATAATTTTAATCTCACCAATAATATCTGTTTTTGTAACTTAAATGTGATCAATAATATCTGTTTTGATAACTTTCATATCATCAAAAATATCTGTCTTGATAATTTTAATCTCACCAATAATATCTGTTTTTGTAACTTAAATGTGATCAATAATATCTGTTTTGATAACTTTAGTGTGATCAATAATATCTCTTTTGATAACTTTCATATCACCAATAATATCTGTTTTGATAACTTTCATATCACCAATAATATCTGTTTTGATAACTTTAATGTGATCAATAATATCTGTTTTGATAACTTTCATATCATCAATGATATATGTTTTTAATACTTTAATACAACCTATATCTGTTTTGAAAGCTAAAATATCAGCAATAATATCTGTTTTTATGACTTTAAAAATATAACCAATATCTATTTTGGTAGTTTTAATATCACAAATGATATCTGTTTTGATAGCTTAATCATTTTAATATCATTGCTAAGTAAATAAACAGTTTTATTGTTTTTTAGCTCACCTGTAACAAAGTGACAGGGTGAGCTTTTGTGTTCGCTTTTCGTCCGGCGTCCGTCCGTCGTCCGTCCGTCCGTCGTCCGTCCGTAAGTTTTTACTTTAAATGACATCTCCTCATAAACCAATAAGCCAATTTCATCCAAACTTCACAGGAATGTTCCTTTGGTGGTCACCTTTAAAAATTGTTCAAAGAATTTAATTCCATGCAGAACTCTGGTTGCCATGGCAACCAAAAGAAAAAACTTTAAATATCTTCTTTTACAAAACCCAAAGAGCTAGAGCTTAGATATTTGGCATGAAACATCTTCTAGTGAATGTCTACCAAGATTGTTCAAATAAAAGCCCTGGGATCAAAATTGGCTCCGCCCCAGGGGGTCATTGAATTTCCCTATATGCATATAGTAAAAACTTAAAAAATCTCCTTTTAAAGAACCCAAAGAGCTTAGATATTTGGCATGAAACATCTTCTAGTGAGTGTGTACCAAGATTGTTCAAATAAAAGCCCTGGGGTCAAAATTGGCCCCGCCCCAGGGTGTCATTGATTTCCCCTATATGCATATAGTAAAAACTTAAAAAATCTTTTTTTAAAGAACCAAAAGAGCTAGAGCTAAATATTTAGCATGAAACATCTTCTAATGAGTGTCTACCAAGTTTGTTCAAATAAAAGCCCTGGGGTCAAAATTGGCCCCGCCCCAGGGGGTCATTGATTCTCCCTATATGCATATAGTAAAAAATTAAAAATCTTCTTTTAAAGAACTCATGGAGCTAGAGTTAAGATATTTAGCATTAAACATGTTCTAATGGGTGTCTCCCAAGTTTGTTCAAATAAAAGCCCTAGGGTCAAAATTGCCCCGCCCCAGGGGGTCATTGACTTTTCCTATATGTACATAGGAAAAACTTTAAAAAATCCTCTTTATAAAGAACCAAAGAGCTGGAGCTAAGATATTTAGCATGAAACATGTTCTAATGGGTGTCTACCAAGTTTGTTCAAATAAAAGCCCTGGGGTCAAAATTGGCCCCGCCCCAGGGGGTCATTGATTTTCCCTATATGTATATAGTAAAAACTTAAAAAATCTTCTTTTTAAGAACTCAAAGAGCTAGAGCTAAGATATTTAGCATGAAACATGTTCTAATGGGTTTCTACTAAGTTTGTTCAAATAAAAGCCCTGGGGTCAAAATTGGCCCCGCCCCAGGGGGTCATTGATTTTCCCTATTTGTATATAGTTAAAACTTAAAAACTCTTCTTTTAAAGAACTCAAAGAGCTAGAGCTAAGATATTTAGCATGAAACATGTTCTAATGGGTGTCTACCAAGTTTGTTCAAATAAGAGCCCTGGGGTCAAAATTGGCCCCGCCCCGGGGGTAATTGATTTCCTTATATATGTGTATAGCAAAAACTTAAAAAGTATTCTTTGAAAAAAATCTAAATAGCTAGAGTTAAGATATTAAGCATGAAACATCTTCTAGTGAGTGTCTACAAAGTTTGTTCAAATAAAAGCCCTGGGGTCAAAATTGGCCCTGCCCCGGGGGTCATTGATTTTCCTTATATGTGTATAGGAAAAACTTAAAAAAACATCTTTGAAAAAAACCAAATAGCTAGAGTTTTGATATTAAGCATGAAACATGTTCTAGTAAGTGTCTACAAAGTTTGTTCAAATAAAAGCGCTGGGGTCAAAACTGGCCCCGCCCCAGGGATGTCATTGTTTTTAACTATATGTGTATAGTAAAAACTTAAAAAATCTTCTTTAAAAAACACAATGAGCTACAGCTTAGATGTTTAGCATGAAACATCTTCTTATGGGTTTCTACCAAGTTTGTTCAAATAAAAGCCCTTGGTTAAAATTGGCCCTGCCGGGGGTAGGGGAGGGCAGATCATTGTTTTTCATTATAAGTGTGTACATCATGAAACGTCTTCTTATAGGTGTCTTCCAAGTTTGTTCAAATAAAAGCCCTGGGGTTTAAACTGGCCCCGCTCCGGGGGCCTACATACAGGTGAGCGACCTTAGGGCCATCATGGCCCTCTTGTTGAGTACATTATCAATATTCCATGGCTTGACAAACCTTTAAGTTGGCAAGTAGCCTTTGATTCCGTCCATTTACCATTCACATTGCACGTTATGTTCTTGTCACCACTTAGAAACATTTTATCTGGACAAGCGAACTCGTATGAACGGACAGTGCCAGCAATGACCGAGGTATGTTCCTCAATTCTTTGATCGGCATTTTGTGGAATTTTGCACGCTAAAAAACAAAGAATAATAATCTTATAAGGAAATGTATTTAAAAGATACGTCGTGATTATATTTTAAGTATGCAAGAAATATATCATTCATTCATTCATTCATTCATTCATTCATGCAATCAATCAATGCATCAGTCAATCAATCGATTAATCAATCATTCAAACAATCAATCGATCGATCAATCTCTTTTTCGTTATTCGGCAGTAAGTTTTGTTTATTACATGTATAAAGACAACTGTTTCATGTCTGTATTGATGTTTGACATACAACAAACATGATATCTTTATATAAAACGTACTAGTAGAATGCCCTAAACTCACATGTAGATCTTAATACTCAAGTAAGAAGATTGTTTTAAATATTAAAAATCTTCAAAAAAAACTGAAGTAGGCGGATTGTATTTATGCCCGTAAGTTCTTTCTTTATTATAAATGGGCTAGATAGTTTTTTTAATGTCATAGCAGAGATAATTTTAACAACACTGAATAGTTTTGGATGTATGTAATGTAATTTCCTTACTGATGTTTTCGCATTTATACGATTCAGAGTCTAGAGGTAGACAACGCTGAGTTTTGTCGCATTGATTGTTGGCACATCCTCTAACCATGGCCTGAAAAAAATGGCCGCCTCAATAATAGAATAAAATGATAAATGAGCCACGCCATAACAAAACCAACATAGTGCTTACAAACCCTATAACAAAAAGAGAAACTGATAGCGAACAACCTGATCAGACTGCGCGGATGCGGATACATGCTGGTCACAAACGCACTATGTTGGTACTTCTATTTTCATGGCGCGGCTCAAATATCATAACAGCGTTATAACCATAATAAAAACATATTATATGTGTTTAAATCAGACATAATTAAGATCATAAATTATTTACAATGTTCCTTAAATGGATGAATAAAACTACCGTTTTCATTTTATAATCAATTAAATGCATTTGTTTCGGTTGGGTACAGACGGATCATCGTCTCAAATTTACACATTTGATAAATAATTTACTACTACTATAATGTGATCGTCAAATGGCGTGATAATAAACAATAGACTGTAAAAATATACTGTTTATTTCCAATGGTTTTGTAATTCACGTATTGATTTAAACTTTTTCAGACAGACTCTTGGTTCGCATTTTATACCACCACATACCTTTGGCCATTCGGCAATATCAGAGAAAATTATTCCTTTTGTTTTCTTGAAGTCTGACGAAGGAACTGTCTCACTCCCTGCTGAGTTGAATTCGCAAGTTTTGGTACTTGTTATGAAATTGATAGACACACAAGCTCCCAGTAACATGCATTCTTTAGCACATTCGTGATGTGATATGACAATCATGTCAAACAGTTTATAACCAACTAATTGCTTGTTCAGATGTTCGGGCTTTGCCTGATAAGGCTTGCATGATTGTAAACAAGTAATTCTCACGAATAAAAGTGCGAAAGTCCATACACCAAGTGCTGTTATCAGTCTCATGATTTTCTGAAATGATTATATTATCAAACGTATATAATAAGTATAAACAGGTAAATATATTCATGAGTTAATTTTACGGTTTTTTATGGCATTGGATAAAGAGGAACTGCTGATATTTCCATAAATTTCGAACACATGCAGACCTATTAGTGGGGCGGGAAATAAGGTTTCTGAAATGAAAACAGTGCAAATAGTGGTACATGCATGAAACTTTCATCTTTAGATCATGCAGGCTTCAATAGTAAAGAGGGCCAAAAATGATATCTTTTCATTCAAAATGGCCGTCATTTTCAAAATGACCGCGATATAAATTTGACGTACATAATAGCTCATTCAATAAATTTTTTTGTACAGGCCTGAAACTTACACTAAAGTTTCTCCTTTACAATAATTCAAATCTTCAAAAGATTCCGCTTTAAACATTTTCAGAATTCAAGATGGCGTCCAATATGGCCGCCGATTTTATGCAAAACTGATACATTTCTTTTGTAGTATTATTTGTAGCATGAATTATACATATTTCGAAAAAGAAAGTTTTTAAACATATCGAAAATAATCAAATAACATGTAAACCAAAATGTGAGTCAAGCTTTTTAGGTTTTTTGTCCAAATATATCTTTAAAAATATTAAAAAGAAAGTGCTAATATTTGCATATTTCTCTAATATGGTTTTTGATATGTCTATGAACGAAATTCAAAAAGTTACACATTTTCTCATAGTGTATGTGGTATTCAATTAACACTAAGTGTTTATTGTCAAAAATGTATCAAAATATAAAAAAAAGTGTAGGTTTTATATTTTGTTAAGTGGGTTAGGTAAATTTATCCGATAATTAAAATACAAAATTAACAAAATTTGTAAGTTAAATTCATTTCTTTGCTTTTTTGTTAAACTTTCTATGAATTCTCATGCCATTATTCACTGTTAAAAAGTGTTGTTTTTTGTTGTTTTAGTTTTTTTTCTTTTTTTAGTAGACTAAATACACATATACAAAACATACATTTAGTAGTGTCTTATTTACGAGTACAATTAATTCCTGCACAATTTCTTTATGAAAAAATAAAAATCGGTAAATAAATTTGGCATTAGATATCATAGTCTTAACGACGGCTTGTAACAGTATGTTTTATCTTCATTTATGTTATCAAGTATAATTGAATTAGCACTGTTCACGGAATAACATATCTAGACATGGTATTTTCAAAAGATACAAAAAATTAAGGCGACTGCTACATCATATCATTCATGTGTAGTGAAATATCAATAGTATCTTTTGCCCACATATAGTTGCTGATGATATATAAACTGTCTGTTAAAAGATTATTTGAATTTCACTTTCCCCATCAAACAACCCTAGATCACCCACCTAAGATCCACCGCAGGAAAATTGCTATAATTCTTTAATACAGAAGTAAGATAAGATCATGTTAGGAGTATCAAATTTTTTCACCACATTTAGTCATGATTTATGAACTATTTGTAAAGGTCCGCTTCTTAAGAAACATGCCCAATATCAAGGCACTCAGAACTGTTTCACGCAAAAAGACTCTTATAGCTATATTTCTATATGAGTCCATAGAAACTTAGTGATTTTGACCGTATGCCAATAATTCATAACTTTTTTAGAGTATCAAAAGGTTATGTTACATGATATTTTTTTTGCTCTGGGCACTGCAGTTTCGGAGAAGATTTTTAAACAGTTTTAAGTCTATGCAAACATAAGTAACATCCCAGGGAAAGCCATTTTAGACTGCAGGAGCATGATTTAAAGGCCTGCCATGAGGGCACTAAGTTTTGAAAGACCTTGTTAGTCCTTTTTTGAAGAACTACAATGCCTAGAGCTTAGATATTCAACATATAACATTGCTTAGTAGAGTAGACCTCTTAAAAAGTTATTTTAAACGCTCTTTGTGTCACTGAGTGTACATAGATTTTACATAGTAAAAATGTTTAAAAACTCTTCTAAAAAAACAGAATACACAGAGAATAGAGCATAGATAGTAAGCACGTAGGATCATCTTGTGTCTTTAACAGATTGCATGAATCTTGCTCATAGAGCCACCCGTGTTGATAGACTTGTACGAGTATAGGAAAACCCATTAAACACTTCTAATGTTAAACTACAACGACAAGAACGGAGATATTTGGGATGTAGCATGATATTTAATGCATAAACTTGTATAATGCTCCTGCAGTCTAAAATGGCTTTGAACTGGGTATCACTTAATTTACACAGCATTACAAATCTCTCTAAAACTACAGTACCCGGAGCATACACATAAATAAAGTATCATCATAAGTTTGTGATACTCTACAAATATTTGATAAATCATGGACAAGATGGTCAAAATTTATCAAGCACCAGGGGCCACTAAGTTTATATGGACTCATATAGGAATATAGTTATTTAAGTCCACTCATGAGAAACTAGATGTTGAGCTGGTTATTTTAGAGCATCCGAATACAAATATTTCACTAATCATGTATGTTATGACAAATTTGGTACACCCAATATGAACTTTTTACTAACCTTAATTAAATAGTTGTGACCTTTTTCCAACGATGGATCTAAGGTCATCATTGCCCTCATTGATTTAAAAAGAGGTATAAATAATTTATGATATACAGTTTTTTTTTAACTCGTCAAAAACTGTATGTAGGTAAGACGGTATCATTGATATATCTGGTTCACTATAAATCTATTATAGATGAGATGTTGTGACAGTAGCCTTATGTTTCTTATTTTGAGCTATCGAATGCAAAAATTATTATCTCATTGGGTTATTTTTTAAGCCATTTTCATATTTTTAAAATGAAATTGTGAAGGGGTTAATAATATGCGTTAATGGACTACCTTACATTCATGTACATGTTTGCTATTTAAAGCACATGTGTTGATTTATTGTCTTCTTTTATATTTTTACAATTAACAATTTATAAATGATATAAAAGATATTGAAACAAGTAATATCACGCAACCAAATTTAAAAACTGAATGTATATACATGATTGAAAAATCCATATGGGAGATAAGCGATCATTGATTTTAGAACCTTACCATCTAGCAATGCTTTGCGACTGCAGAAGATGCATTTTACGACCCTTGAAAAGGTTTTTGTTGATACTGGCGACATTGGTTTAAAGGCCCATTATTCCCCAGAAATGCTTTTATTATATTTCTGAAAAGCTTTATATATTTGGTGTCCTGTTAGTTTCCAAAAGGCTACTCATAAGCCAATTACATGAATAATATTTTGCTTCTGTTACTTTCTAGAAATTAGCACAGTTATAGTGATTTAGTATTTTGTATGGAAATCAAAATCATTCTACTTACTTGGCATCTTGCTACTTTCATGACAAATGACTACTATCATTTTAGGCAATGAGACTTTAACATGCTAAAAAAAACACTATTGAAGCAAATTAACTTATTTTTGTCCTTTCTAAAGCAAGCAAATTTTATTCAATTCTAAGGCATATTGTGCCTCTAAAAAGACACCTTATCGTACAACAGTGTCAATTTCGTTGTAGTTGTTGTTATTGATGATGATGATATTTATAATTATACATTTGTGCAAATTGACTAGGGCTGGAATGATAATGGTTTCTGTGTATTGTGTAACATGGTCTGAAACTTGAAGACCATGTCTGCATGTTAAATAATTTATCAGATCTATTTTATGTTATGCTAATTGACACAAGTTTCATAAGCTGCATATCTCCAGATGATCTAAAACATTTAATGAAAATTCAAATTTGAGCAAAGTGTACTGAATATTTTTAGAAAAGTAACAAAGGAATACCATGATTTAAGTAATGATTTACATGCTATGTGCAAATAATGACTGATTTTGTGGTATTTCTTCTTCGTGACTAACGCTAACACAGAAAGGGCTTGAGTTTTTTTCTCCATATTTTGACCAGTACGTGAATTTTAATTGCCGTATACAATGTGTAAATTTCTTTCTTTGTACATTTTACAATATTTTCCATCTAAATACAGAATAAAACTTTTAAAGATTAGTAGCATGGATCATCTAGAGGCATGCTGCTTTAAATCATAAAAAACTTCTACTGTAAAAAACTTTTTATATCTGCATACATGTAAAGTTTCAATTGATTAACGTATATTTAAATATTTTGAACGTTTAACGTATATTCAAATATTTTGAACCGTTCCTCGGGACTCTGCAGACGTTTATATTAATATTGGAACTGAAGCAAATATATTTTGATTTTAGCAGAATTTTGACATTTAAATTGCTCATTGTTGCCTTTACCTATGGTGGCTGATTTGGTACGCTTTTGTACGTCGTGTTGCCTACAAAACGCCAAATGGCGCATTTCGGACTTGCGTCTTGTCGTCCTGTTGCTTACGATGCAAGCCAAACGACGCGTTGTCGTGCGGCGTGTTATTGCGATGTCACGTCGTCGCTCGGTTCAAATAGAAGGATTTGCGACATCGCGACAACGCGCCGTTTGGCATGCTTCGCAAGCGATAGGGCGACAAAACGACAGTGCGACAACGCGCCGTTTGGCCAGCAACAAGCAAACGACGAAAAGGCGATATCAATATAGGTTGTGTTGTCGCTATTGACAATGCAACGGACAATGTGTACCAAATCAGCCACCATATTTACCGGTTGTGGCTTCAGAGTTGTATCCACCGTAGAAACCTACGTGATCGTAAAAGGCGATTAATGGCTTCCAATTACTTATAGAATGTATGCATCTTTTAGCTCGAACAGGTGAGATGGTTTTGACCTTTGGTGTTTCTTTAAAATATGTAACACCTAAGGTTAGCAAAAATCATAAGCCTGTTTCGGCGCCATTTGACTTAAATTGTATTGGTACGCCGTAAAAGCAAACCAAACACAGTGTATTTGATTGATATATCAACTTACCGAGATTGTAGCTCATTCAACATTTGCATTAAAGACTTTGAAATGGTATAGTAACATTGCGCTTCACTATGTAACAACAAGAAATTAATAATTGTATATTTAGAATGATACTTGGTATCATAATTTACGGATGATACAAATAATATAAATACAAATATGTAAAACATTTTAAACTAACGTAGACTCTTTGGTTGATATCTAAAGGAACTGCGCTGAGATCCAAAATCCTACAAACATAAAATTTCAAAATCTAACGAATATCAAGTGACGTATTTAAAATGGAAATGAATATGCAAATGATATTAAAGAAATATACTAATAATCAAATTGGAAATCAGTTTTTTTTACAATTAAAAGCCGGTTTTGAGAAAAAAAAGCGTTGCAACGTTTTTCATTTTGTGGTCCTTTTGCACTATTAATATGATCGTTCTGGAAAAACGGAGAGAGGGAATGAGCTGAAAATGTGCGCATAAATAACTCATCCAGACATACATCAATTGGTACAAAAATCTTGGAAAAATATTTCAAGTCCTGATACATGTGTAAGAATTTCTACTTTTGTAATTCCACATGTAATAAAATACTCAAATAACTATATATAATTTCCTTTCATCGTTTAATTGTTAATTATATTTCTATATGTCTAATCTAACATTAATATAAGCAATAAAGTTTGCAGTGTTTCTCTTCCTTCCTCACACATGGTTTAAACGACACTAAATACTAACTCCCAAATTACCCTATACTGACTTTAGTATCTTGACTCTCACTCTTGAATGCCCTTAGAAAATATTGTACCCACATTTATAGAAAATACCTTATCTCTTCATTTTGTGAGGTTACCCTTGTGTTTACTGTCAAAAATAAACCTTCTATATTTATGATGACAATTGTTAACCAGGTTACCATACCAGAATCAAACAGACTGATTCCTGGAATATTTATGATGGTAACCAATGATTGAGTTACTTAAACACAACAATTGCAAGCCTCTTATCCAGAATATATGAAGGTAACCGTTTACAGGGTTACAATACTTAAATCAGACTGATACAAAATCTAGCCCCAACAGATTCATAGTAATAAGTAATGACAACAAACGAGGTCTCAGTTCTCATACAAACTCAATCATTAAATCAAATAATGTTGCTAAAACTACAACACATGTCAATAAACCTCAGTTGAGTCCGTTTAAGATCTAATATATACTCATGGGGGTGAGAAGCTGCGAGGGAGCATAAGTTGTTTGTTTTTATTTTTTCAATAAATAAATCGTTGGTTAAAACACAACGCTCAGTAATTTGTTCGTTCACCAAATGTAAAATTAATGAATAAAATTTGATATTATTGATTTTGTTTTGTATTTGTGAAGATTAACTAGATTTAAAAGACCAGAATTGTGTGGTCGCTAAATAATATTTTTGCAAATTTTATACAGTTTGATACGTACATATAATGATTTATTTTCGAATAGAATTATGTATTCCCGGTACCACGACCTATTAAAGAATATCTTAATTCGGTCAGTTAGTGCTTTAATTAATATAATTGAATGTAAAGGTACTTAGCTAAGCAAACGTTTAGTCTACTACTATCAAAGGATAAATGAGCCGCGTCACGACAAAACCAACATAATGCGTTTGCGGCCAGCATTGATCCAGACCAGCCTGCGCATCCGCGCAGTCTGATAAAGATCCATGCTGTTCGCTTACAAACCATAAAACAAGTAGTGAAACTGGTAGCGAACAGCATGGATCCTGATCAGACTGCGGATGCGCTGGCTGGTCTGGATCCATGCTGGTCGCAAACCCATTATGTTGGTTTTGTCGTGACGCGGCTCAAATCTTTTTTATCAATTAAGTCCTCACTACCCTTAATTATAAAGTTTAATCATTTTATGAAAATAATTCAAATGTCAGTACACATTTATGTTTATTTACATGATAAATTTCTTACTCAAAAACATATCAATCTCAGTTTTTAGCTTTTAGTATATATACAAACCATTCCGATAAATTGTTAAGTGTAATAATTGAATTACAATTGTATATTGAAAGTTAATGTAATACAAAGTAAAAACAATGTACTGTAAATATCACCTTGCTGTTTGAAATCTTTTTCTTCTATTTCATCGATGAATAGAAGCAGTCGTATCCACTTATAATTAATTTCAATCACTTACATTTCTATGAAAATTGTTTCAACGATGCAACCAGTATAACAAAACCGCACAGACTGAAAGGCTAACAATTGTTATTTTTAATGCTATGCAGTTTCCAGGAAGCAAACAAAACAAGCTGTGATTGGATGGGATTAATTACGTTGCAGAAATAAATTAGAAGAAAGACCAACAAGAGAGCGATATTTACCAAACGAAGCTCCTAACAACCTCATACGACTATCGGTAAGGCATGCAGCACCTTTCCGTCGGTCTTCGGATAAGGACTTTTATAGATAATAGCCGAGGACGTTCCGATTGCCATCACGACAACAAACAAAACATGTATGCATGTTCACCGGGGGGATAAGGTGGAGTATATCATTTAGTTTATAATCGCGATACTAAGACAGTTCATAAAACAAATACAATCATTTTATATCTATACCTATCCAACACCGTTTATGTTCTTACATACGAATTTAATTTTTGTTTAGCAGCATAATCGATACCAGCAGCGATCAGAAATAATTAAATGTGTACGTATAAATGAACTAAAGTGATTTCAATGTCTAGCATAAATGATATTCTAGTAAGTTGTAATCACCTGTTGGATTTGAATCGCACTGCCTTAGACGCAAAGCATTTAGAAAAACAATACACAAAACGACACATACAAAGAGTAAATGGTCATTTATTTGCAATGTACAAATCAAAAGCAAACATCAGTTATGTAAACAAAATAAATGCGTCCGTTAGTCAAAATTCATAATCATGTAGTAATTACTTATTCGGTGACTGTCTGCGTCCATAAAAAATTGCTCATCCTGCGAAACGTCACGGATACTGTCGTTTACGCGGATGATAAAAGGACAGAAGGAATAGAATCAACGTATTATTTGTTGATCGAATTGGTCGCGGACGTGCATCACGTAGCAATGGAATAGCGCACTTGCAGGAAAGTGGGTTAAGGGCAATGGATAGGAGGATAAAGCGGATGGTCAAATTGGAAATCAGGATGGAATTATTAACCGATGATGAGATATTCTAAATAGAGGACAGAGACGCAACCCTTGTCAAAACATGAAAACAGTTGGCAAAACCTATTTTAAAAGAACGCAGAAGGACACCGTCTTGGATCGGCCGGAAGTGTAAATCACTACTATGGAGTTTAAACCAGTTAAAGGTATACCGAACCTTACTCTGAGCCCCAAATATGACAACAGCAATCAATATTCCTTACTATAATCATGTGCAACTTTGGTTAAACACAGTAAAAGCATTTTTTTATGTCAAAATATATGCTTTGTACTGAACTTTATACTCTGTTCCGTCTACCACTGAACAGCTGTCAATGAATGTATTTTACATTCCTATGTAGGGCAATGATATTTTGCCTTACGCAGTTCGCGCCTGCGCGAGAAAATACTTCAACCGGTCAATTTTGCATAGCAACTGGCTTCGTCGTAAAATGGTGTTTACTTTCAGACATTTATAGAAATATATTCTTTAAGGTAGACCATGGGTAATGCATTACCTCCACTTTGAAGAGTATTCAAATAGGCTAGAATCGCTTGTAAACTACATTGAAATTGAGGGGCGTGGGTTCAATCCCCAGAAGGGGCAATTTTTTTTTCTTTATTTTTTTCTTTTTAACATTATTTATGTATCTCTCTGATCCCTTATGGAAGAAAAAAAGTTTGATTTAAATTATATAATTATTTTAGGTATTTTTTTGGCTAAATAATGCCAAAATTTATAGCAAATATGATACCAGATATTTTCAAAGTTCGATAAAATAAAAACTACATGGTAAAAGTATTTTATATTTCGCATGATCAACTAATATACCTTTGAAAAAATTTAGGCAAACTTTGAAAACAGACCCTCATTTCGATAAATTTTAGGGATATTTTGAATAAGGCATTTTAGATAGGGAAATGGTAAAATAAGTGGTAAAAGTGGGTGGGGTAGGGTAACATTTTTATATGTATTAAGAACATTTTGTTTAAAAACAAACATTTTGCTTGTGTAATATGTTACCTGAATGTTATTATTTGTTTCTTAAAAATGAGCAATAGAAAAACATTTTTATAATGATGATATTACAGATTATTTAGAGTTTCCTCATTTCTGAAAATAAGCCCTTCTAATGGCAAAGTCTTAGTTCAGAAATATATCCATAACTCATAAACCACACGGTAAATTTTATTTAAATTTTGCATACAGGTGACCTTGAAGACATATAACTGTCCTATGTTGTCAATTTTACAGTTCTTTATGGTGCCCATTACCCATGGTCTACCTTAAGACATTTTGTTCATGAATTATATCAAACAAGGAAGTTCTGGGTTTTTGATATATACGATGAATTAATTAATTTAAAACATGGTTTTTACTAAAGAAATACCGGCTTAAACCATACGCTCCTGTAACCAAAAGTGATTAGCCTTTGTCGCCAGTATAAAGCCAGGTCAGCCTGCAAATCCCACAGACACTTTGAACGTGGAGCTCAAAACGCCTCTAAGATCCAAATTTGTCAATCCCAGCATTTGTACTGATCATGTAAATCAAAATAGCTTAATATAAGTCGTTTTGAAAAACAAATCATATTTCAACGTCTGTAATAATTCACAAGAAATAAACGTACACCTACCGTCAAAATCACCATGTATTTTATTCCATTTCCAATATTTTCACATAATCATTTTGCCAATCAATACAGAAGATATTATTCTTCACAATGATGGTCAATTTCAAACTTTAACATCAATATAAACAACTAAACAGCCGAAATAAACATCAAGATTAATGCCATCTTTCGACAAACCCCAGCTTTGCGTATTCAAATACTAGGGATGTCATTCGAAGCCGAATTCACTATCCGGATATCCGCATTAGACATCAGAATACTTCCGGATTCCCATTGGGAACCAACACATTACCGACTATAGCCTATAGACTATATGGCTCAGACTATTGCCAGATAGGTTATCATCTTCAAAGCGCGGCGCATTTGAATACGGAATATTGGATCCGTACTCACGGAAGTGAGTTGTAAGATATAAGTAATCCGTAAAGAAATTTGAACATAAAACGTTTTAAAAAATACAAATTATTTTGACATTTCAAAAAATATTTTCACATATGATTTGTTTCTAGTTCTGTATAAATGGCAAGCGGTGTTTTTATGATGTTGTAATAATGGATTAAGAACATGTGGAATAGTTAAAACTATAGGGAAAATAGCGCTAAATTAGAAATGACTTTAAGTGTTAATTTGACTTCCATACAAAAAAATCTAAATTATTAAAAGTGTTTTAATTGCCCCCCCCCCCCCCACCCCCATTCAACCTGGTACAGAAATCTGTCCCAATTCAACTTCATAGTAAACACATATTTATGGTGGCTGATTTGTGCCATTCGTTTTTTCGTCCCGCGACCTCGCCAAGCGAAAAGTCGAAAATTAACGCGGGGTGCGGGGGGCGCATATAGAGATTTAAGAAATAAGACAGCGGGTCGCCATTTTAGACTGCAGGAGCATGATTTAAAGGCCTGCCGTGAGGGCACTAAGTTTTGAAAGACCTTGTTAGTCCTCTTTTGAAGAACTACAATGCCTAAAACTTAGATATTCAACATATAACATTGCTTAGTTAGAGTAGACCTCTTTTAAAAAGTTATTTTAAACGTCTTTGTTGTCACGAGTGACATAGATTTTACATAAGTAAAAATGTTTAAAAAACTCTTCTCAAAAAAAGCAGAATACACAGAGCATAGAGCATAGATTACTAAGCACGTAGCATCATCTTGTCTGTGACTAAAACAGATGGCATGAATCTTGCTCATAGAGCCACCCGGGTTTATAGACTTGTAACGAGTATAGAATAAACACATTAACCACTTTAGTGTTAAACTAAACGGGATCTAGAACGAAGATATTTGGATTGTAGCATGGATATAAAATTGATATAAATTTGTATGAGCTTCCTGCAGTTCTAAAATGGGCTTTGAACTGGTGGTATCACTTAATTACCACGGACTTTATGTAATAAATCTGTCGTTTTCTCTAAAACCTAAAACTACGGTACCCGAAGCATACACATTAATAAAGTATCATCATGAACCTTGTATACTCTACAAATATTTGTATAAATCATGGTCAAGATGGTCAGATATATCAAGCACCCCAGGGGTCACTAAGTTTATTATGCGACTCATACAGGAATAGTTAATTTAAGTCCACTCATGGAAAGTAGATGTTGAGCTGGTATTTCAGAGCATCCGAAATACAATTATTTCACTAATCATGTATGTAATGACAAATTGGCACACCAATATGAACTTATTACTAACCTTTATTAAATAGTTGCGACCTTTTTCCAACGATGGATCTTAGGTCATCATTGTTCTCTTATTGATTAAAAAAGAGGTATAAATAATTTATGAAATACAGTGGTATTTTAACTCGTCAAAAACTGTATGTAGGTCAGGCGATATCATTGATGTATCTGGTTCACTACACATCTATTATAGATGAGATATTGTGACGGTTGCCTTATATTTTCTATTTTGAGCTATTGAATGCAAAAGTCATTATCTCATTTGTATTTTTACAATTAACAATTTTTAAATATTATAAAGGATATTGAAACAAGTAATATAATGCAAGCAAATTTAAAAACTGAATGTACACACATGATTGCAAAGCTATTTGGCAGATAAGCGATCATTGATTTTAGAATCTTACCATCTAGCAATGCTTTGCGACTGCAGAAGATGCATTTGACGACACTTAAAAGGGTATTTGTTGATACTGGCGACGTTGGTTTAAAGGCCCATTATTCCCCAGAAATACTATCATTATATTTCTGAAAACCTTTTTATATTTGGTGTCCTGTTAGTTTCCAAAAGGCTACTCACTAAGCCATTTACATGAATGATATACAGTTTTAGTGAATAGGTATTTTTGTAATGGAAATCGAAAATACTCTTTTCATGCCATCTTGCTACTTAAGACAAACGATTTTTCACATCTAGCGCTGTACTATCTTTTCAGGTAATAAGCCTCTCTGCTCAAAAAAACTATTATTTTAACA